AGTCGTCCCAATCATCTAATCTCTTAAATAAGTTATGAAATAATCAAACATCAAATGATGTCAATATTAGGGCGAAAAATACTTTTATACTTTCATTAGACGTTTACAATGGGCTTAATGTTAAGTTGTATATACTTTTAATTACAAAATAATTACAGTGTTTTATGTTATGTCTTAAATTAAACACAAACTCAAGTCTGTTATCAATAACCAAACGATGAAATGAATGCAAAACATCTCGTTTTCAGTGATAAGACATCGAAATAAACGGTTCAAACAGAAAATGTGCCAAAACTCAGATCCCGGGCATTATATACGCGATGTTATCCAACGTCTTCTTATGAATCTCTTGGGAACAGCCGTTAAGATTGTGGTCTAATTGGGTGAGGCATAGGAGGGGTCCGATGGCGCACAGAGTCGAGTCCAAGAGCACAGACAGAGAGCCGGACACAGCTATCTGTCCGCTGTGTTCCTTAAGCCTCTCACCGATCGTCGTCAACGACTCGCCCAACAGTTTCAGATGAGACGACACGTCGATGGGAGCCGTGCCTATCGGTCGCCATAAGTCCTCAATAGGGGTATAACAGTCGTCGCTATTGAGTGCGAGCGCCGGGTCTCCAGTCGAGTGGTTGGCCGCTTTGGCGTTAGTTTTAGGCGGCGATGCCTTCGGTTTACCGGTGCTGATGATCGACGAGCCTTTGGTTACCAGTTTCTGTGCCTTCCGGCGCCACGCGATCTTCTCCTTGTCGGCCATCGCCTGCCAAACCTCTCCCAACCGGCGACTAATGTCGGCGAAGTCCAGGTCCGGGCACTGGTGTTGTATTTTCGACCGGTGCTCCTTCGACCACAACATGTAGGCCGTGATCACCGCATTCCTCTTCTTCTTGGGCTTCTCATCGCCGGTGGCATTGCTTTTGCCGCGTTTGGCGGGCTTTCTATCACTGCCACCGGCGCCGCCGCCCCTTCCCTTACCATCCGGTGACGACTTTGACGTCGATCGCGACCTCTTGGGCTTTGGTTTGGATGCTTTGGTGGGAGAAGTAGTGACCCCTTCGTCCGCGTCGATGATGAGCGCCGTCTCAGCGAACTCGTCGTCGAACGAGATTTGTGTCACCACTTCCAATGGCAACGACTTATTCCTCCGACTGTTGGCTTTGGTCTTCGAGA